AAAGGGTCGATGTTCTTGACCCTTTCAATTACCACACACAAAGCTTTTCAATTTATCCAGGTGGACACAAGTGGACATTAACATGGCTGGAGTATAAAGGGACTCTTAGCCCGGTTGTAAAATTAAGCATCTTTTTCCATTTTTATAATGACATTACCATATTTGAAGACTTGCTGTTCCGGTACGTGTGACCATCGTATTAGAGTTTAATGAGACCTCATTATTACTCTGTGGTCAACGTTATACATTTCCTTTTTACTCTAAAGTCAATAAGAAGCATCCTGTATGGAAGTTGGGCATTATTACAAAATAGGGGTTTACAATGTGTCTACAATGAAACACAATTTGGTTGTTCAAAAATGATAAAAAAAAAATAATCTGTTTAGAATAGAATTGATAAAGATTACAGGTCAAATGTCTCCTATTCTTTTTATGTTAACTTTATGAACAAAAGAGAAAGTTTAAAGTTCTTAAAATGTTTTACATTTGTCTAGAACAGTTGACTAGTTTACATTTCGTACAAAGGGGTGTCCTTATTGACAAAGTGGCGCGAATTTCTCGTATATTTGTGAGGGTGTAATTTTGATTAAGAGCCAATAAGTAAATTACAACAAACATGTGTTAATTTTACTGTTGACATGGTGACAGACATGTAATCTATACATCTCATAAAAACTTGTTCATTTCGCGCACTTGTTCCTAATGTTTACCTTCAGAATAGCTAGGCATTGTTTGGGAAATGGCGCCAATTATGTATCTTTTCAAGTCCAGTTACGGGGTCGGCCATGTTGAAATCGTGGATGTGTAACGTTTATTTACATGTTTACTTGTGCTAATGGCTAAATGACATAATTTCCTTACATTGTATTTTCGACTTTCCAGTCGATTTTCAAAGAGAAAATATTTAATCGTCTGGATAACTGGATCACAAAAAGATTCTACGGTGCTAAACATCTGTTTTTGTCAACCAATCAGATGCTCTGTTAGAAATCAAAGAGAGCCGATGATGAAGAGAAAGTAATTTTGTGTAAGTAATCCTAATCACTATTTGATTAGGGTCACGAGCTGAGGTACCTCGTGCAAGGCAGTCACACAATGCATACAGTTGATAGTCGTCCATGCGTAGCGTATTATCTGTCTTGAAAAAGGGCGATTGTTTGACATGATAATTACCAGATTAACAAACTAAGAAAATTTCATTAACTTTTTATTTTTTGATACTTAGATTGATCTCCTTTCATTGAGATTAAAAGTAAGTTCTCTAAAGAACGCCCTCGTTTAAGGCAACCATTGGAAATTTATCATAAGACTTAGTTTTAAATAAAAAGGAAAACCCTTCTTCGTGAGACAATTTGTTTTTGTTACGGAATCATTAATAAGGTGTTATCATTTTCCAGAGCACAATGTAGTGCAATTTAAATCTGTCATGCTGCAATATATAATTTACAAATAGTTTTAGATTCGTTTACAGGGTTTATATATTGAAAGCATTCCTTATATTGGTGAACATAAAGACAATATTATTATCGCTGACCACCTGCCGTGTGTCTAATCAGTCAGCTATCACTAATGACTTGGGGACAGAGAATTAAAATTGATTCCTGACTACTTGATAATTAAACTAGGGACCGTATAGCAGGTTCTAATAACGGTAAAAATAGAATCGTTCCAGGCAGAATTACTTTGATTCCCGATATGAATCACTGTCGCTTTCCACCTGTTCTACCTTGTATATGGAAATTCTAGCGTAACTCACCTGTATCATTAAACGGATTTTCCCTTTAATCTCAATTGTTCATTGAAGCCGGCGTATGTTATGGAATATTGTGATACTCTTTATATCTGGACGAGTGTATCGATAAATTTGTATGAAAATTGAATTGTTCTCATTAATCAGACAAATGACTTTTGTAATTTATTTTTTTTTTTCGGTCAATTCTTTTTTGTATAGAACACATGTTTCTATGATTCTAGATATACTGGCAATTTGAATATAATTTTTTTTTACTTTTTTTCACAACTAGATCTGTCAAATCAACGAAGCAAAATTTCTGATGTAACTGAAAATAATAATTTTTTCTTAACGCAAGTAGTTTTAACTACATCATTAGATGACTGCCAACAAATATCATGAAAAAATGAATTTAAATATGTTCTAAGAATATATTTGTATCTTTTATTCAGTGATAAATCTAAGAATAAAAACTGTTTAAAAATAATTAAGGCATATTTTGTTAAACTTTTATTTTAAATAGAAAAAAATCTTAAACACCTTGTAAACCATTTAACACCTAACCAATGTGTTCACACGTTGCAAATTATACTAGAGTTGTTGTTTAACACCTCTCTAAGTGCATATTGTTGGTAAACAACACATTATTATAGTAATGGGTTAATTAACACAATCAATTTGCTCATTACCTAATTATTATACATCATATCAAAACAAAAATTCTCAATTAAAATCCCTTTCTGGAATTGGGTTATACAAAGCTATATTCTATGGCCATGGTCAAATAATTTTTTTTAAAAACATTTATTTATATAGAAGAATGACTTACAAACTTTGATGACAAATTTATTTTAAGGCGTGGATGTTCCCTTTATTTCTAAGTAGTTCTGAGGGGTTACTTGGTTTATCGCCCCATCATTATGACGATTTATTTTTAACAGCACCTCCGAACAATGAGAAAAACAATGATCGCATAAAGCGTCTACCTTGCTCGGCAGCTCACCCATCCGAGAGGTTCAAATCACAAGCAAACACCAGATAGTAGTACAACAGCGATATTCATATACATCAATCGACTAGTGATGCCCTATATGGTTATCCACAGAAGTATCTTGAATTGTGGTTTTACAGAAGTATCATGACTGGTTGTGTTACAGATATATTATAAATGGTTGTTTTACAGAAGTATCATGACTGGTTGTGTTACAGATATATTATAAATGGTTGTTTTACAGAAGTATCAAGTATGGTTGTTTTAAAGAAGTAATTCGAATGGTTATTTTTACGGAAGTATTAAGAATGGTACTTTTACAGAAGCATTATGGACAGTTCTTTTACAGAAGTTTCACGAATGGTTGTTGCAGATTTATCAGGAATGATTGTTTTACTATAGAATAATTAATGGTTCTCATACAGAAGCATTATGAATGGTCGTTCTACAGAAGTATGAAAATAACACGACATACTATTGTGAACGAAGGTTTTACGTGCTTTATCGAAGAACCATGGATGTTTTACGTAAGTGTTGCTTACCGAATGCCTTTCTACGCTTGTGTTATGAATGTCTGTTTTAAGGAAATATAATGATTGTTCTTTTAACAGAAGTAGCGTGAATAGTTGTTTAAAGATGTATCATGAATGGTTGTCAACAGAAATATCATAAGTGATCGTTTTACAGATGTATCATAAATTGTAGTTAACTTAATTACAGAAGTTTTATTTATTGAATTAACAGAAGTAAAAATGAAAGTTGTTCACAGAAGTATTATGGATGTCTCTTTTACAAATGTATCGTGAATATCTTCTTTATGGAAGAATCAAAGATGTTTTACATATATGACAAAAATACCTTTTAACAGAGTACCGTGAGTTGTTGTTTTATAGAGGTATCAGAAGTTGTTGTTTACAGATGTATATATAAAAAATGTTGTTTTACAGTCGTAGAATGTATGGTTGTTTAGTTGTTTAACACAAAATGGACTTTATGGTTGTTTCAAAGATGTATTATTAGGGTTTGTTTACAGAAATATACTGAATGATTGTTTTACAGAAGTAGAATACAAGATTGTTTTACAAAAGTATCGTAACTGGTTGTTTAACAGAAGTAGAATGTATGGTTGATTTAAAGAAGTAGAATGTATGGTTGTTTTACAGAAGTAGAATGTTTGGTTGTTTTACAGTAATGGAATGTATGGTTGTTTTAAAGAGGTATGATTAAGGGTTGTTTACAGAAGAAGAATGCTTGGTTGTTTTACATAAGTATCAAGAAATGTTGTTTTACAGAAGCACCACTGTAATATGGTCATCATAGTTGTGTATAATAATGATAAGTGAGCCATAATATAATAGTATATTTTAAAGAACGGTATTAGTGTCATATTATGATCATTGAATACTGTATCAATTAAAAGTACTGAAAAATACATCAGCAAAAATTAAAGTCTGTATTATTCTCTTCATTGAGACATTTGCACTGAGAAGCCTTTAGCCTGCAGCGAGAATTCAATGAAATACTTTCAACACCCAGTATTATGAAAAAATTCTATGTTTTTTGGGGTCTTATTCACGGATCGCGAACCTAGTTATAAATAAATCCTTTTGAATAGCCTTTTTAATAATGGACTTGCTATAGTGAGCGTTTTTCTTCTTCAAACTTACTCATTTGTGTACCTTCGTACAATGTGGTGATAGTACAGACCTCATTTTCAATTCTCAAATCATTTTATTTTTCTCTACCAATCCACGAATGTTATTATAAAAAACCCTTTAATATGATATACGTAAGATATACCTTTTAAAAAGAACCTTTTCATTAATGTTTCCGAGTCTTTTTTTTTTATTCTGTCCTGTAGTGGGTCTGAATAGAATGACTTTGATTGACAGAACATTTTATTTCAATGAAATGTCAAAAACACGTGATGTCTTGAAGAAAGGAATGTTTTGCAATTCTTCCATATTTGGTTTACATTTACCAACTTGTCTCTTGAACAGTTTTATACGCATTTCGTATTCCACAAGATATAAAATGTCGGTTTACAAATTTATACTCCGCATTTCATTTTGAATCAAAACTTTGGAGTAGGAATTATTTTCATTCTGTGATTTTGAGATAAATGTTTGTTCATCATGGTGATCGACAGTCGATAACGGCTTGTCAACATAATATTCAAATAAACCTGACACAGAGGCGGGGCCTACTGCCATTGTGGACCGATAACGAGTATTGATTGGCGGGAGACTTATTGCCAGTTCCGCCTCGTTTTTGATGTTAGAAGTGGTCTAGGTATATTTGCCCAGGTCAGAGAAGTTGGCTATATTTCCCATCGCTCGTTGTGAAGTAGCTTGGCTGAAACTGTGTTTTGTTGTTGTGAGTTGTATGAATAGTGACAGTCACTGGGTGCGACTGTAAGAAGAACGAAGTGTTTTGGATTTTATTCTGCATCTTCAATATAGATCATGTTGTCGACTAAACCGGGTTCGTACGACCCAACTAGTACGGGTGGATATTCAATGGCTTCCATGCCTGGTATCAATACTATGGGAGGTGTAGGACCGATGAGTAACATGAACTATTCTCCTCAAGGAATGGGTGGTATGCATAGTGCCATGAATTCGATGAATACCATGCCTCCTGCGATGGGCAGTATGGGACTTGGAAGTATGGCTATGCATGGATCATCAATGCACGGTCAGGTGTCGGCTATGAATCCTATGAACACTATGGGATCTATGAACTCTATGGGAAGCATGGGATCTATGAATGGAATGTCCAGTATAGGAAGTATGTCATCAATGAACGGAATTAACCGTCCTATGGATCCGAACATGATGTCAATGGATCGAGCACAAGCATTGAATAGAGCCAGGGATAAAAATTATCGAAGGAGTTATACGCACGCTAAACCGCCATATTCATATATCTCGCTTATCACAATGGCTATTCAACAGTCACCTAACAAAATGTGTACCCTCAGTGAAATTTATCAGTTTATCATGGACTTATTTCCTTTTTATCGTCAAAATCAACAAAGATGGCAGAACTCTATCAGACATAGTTTGTCTTTTAATGACTGTTTTGTTAAAGTCCCAAGAACTCCTGATCGTCCTGGTAAAGGAAGTTACTGGGCACTTCACCCAGATTCAGGAAATATGTTTGAAAATGGTTGTTATCTTCGTCGTCAGAAGCGGTTCAAGTGTCTAAAGAAAGAATCTATGCGATCACAAGATCCAGATGATCCGAACTGCGACATGCAAGACGGTCCAGGAAGCGCCGATTCTACTCCTACCTCAACTGGTGACGGCACTTCACTCTCGGCGCCTAATTCTCCTCCGAATCACCAAGTAGAACAAGTTCAACAAATGGTTCAACCAAAGACCGAACACAACCAAGCTCATCCTCAGGCTCATCTCCAGCAACAAGACATGTCGCATCTTACACATTCTCAAGCTAGTCAGCAACAAATGGGTAATTGTGGTACGGAACTAACAAGTATGCGACAACTTCATCACGATATCTCCATGAACCATCATGGTTTAAATTTGGCACCGGGACAATTAAATCATCCTCATTCATTTAACCATCCATTTTCTATTACAAATCTCATGTCGGAAAACAAAATGGACTTAAAGATGTACGAAGCTCTCAGTGGTTATCAATCGTATACTCAAATGTCCCCAATCAGTTTGCCTAAAGAAGCCTCACCCCCTATGAACCCTCAGGATGGTAGTTACTATAAAACCTACGCTCCTCATTCCACGGCGAGTTTGTGAGAAATTTCATTTATTTCAACAACTGTGAACATTTTCTTACTTAAAATGGACGTGTTCTCTACATTTTTTAAAAAGCGAAAACCAAAATTTTTAGCGAATATACCAAAGATGTGTTGAATTAAATTATATAGATTTTTTATATATTATGTTATAAATATATTATAGACAAGACTGTCTCTTTATGTACTTACAAAATTGGAGGAAAAATACTGCCAAAATGTGTGTTTTTTCTTGTTGAAAGAGTTCAAATATTTAACGCAAAAGACAAAGAGTACAAATTTTAGAATTATATTGTGTATAGAAATTTATATATATATAGTGCGAAAATTATTTGTATATATATTGCGAAAGTGCACGCGATTCGAATTGAGTGAAAAAGACGAATTTCGAACGGGTTGATCTGTATATTTTTGTGTGTAATTTTTCGTATTTTATTTCTGTTGTGCGAAATCGGTTGGAGTACGAGAAAATTTTAAACCTTAACAGAGTTTTGTCAGGTAATATAATGTAGGAAATTTAAGAATATTCCAATATTTTGTAAAATATAGATATTTACATTTTTTTTTGTTTTTAATTTATTTATATCAGAATATCATCCTTTTTTTTTCATTTTAAGATAATCTCTTTATTTTTTTCTCAAATTAAATTTATTTTATTCGAAATATTGCATTTTTCTGAAATATTTCATGAAATTTACACAGTAATTGGCGTTTATTATTTCTACAAAAGTATCTCTAAATGAAAAAAAATCAAAAGTTCTCAAATGTTTGAAAGTTCAATTTGTTCTATGTTTTTCTTTGTGTCTCAATATTTTTCTTTTATAAAAATCTTGTCTTTAGACTTAAAATGATATAAAAAGATTCATTGAAATAAATTTTCTCCTTTTTTAATCAGAAATCCGCATTCTAAAATGTTTCAAAGCAAAAATAAATTGGTAAAAAGCTCGGTGAATAATCCGTCCAAATTTTCGATAAGTCTTAGTAGAAACGCAATTTCGATTTGCTTTGAAATATTCTAGGTCTAGAATATCTGGATTTTCAAAATCGTCTGACCGATTTGAACATCCAACAGAAAATATGAACATCTTCAGCATTGGAATGTTTTATATTTCTTCGTGGAAAATTCACTAAGGGACATATTTTGAAATACTTATACAAGTAGGGCCGACGATATTTTCTTTAAAATGATATAGTGTAGTTTTATTGATGCATCCAAAACATTTTTCATTTGCACCTTAACACACAACTTTACAGTGTTTTTAGATTTCTAATTTAATATGTTCACCGTGTGTGAAAAATTTCATTGAATATTTTTGAAAAGAAATTTTGTAAAAGAGTTGTAGTGTGACGGATTAGGTTGGATTCTTATTACAAATTTTATCATTTAAGTCAATACATGAACATACTACAATATATTGTACGAGTAGACAGGCATCAAATATTTACATACAGTGGAAGATAAATTTACAAAACCATCATTTGACCAATATTTGATTTTTTAAATATTTACTATTGACTTTCATTATTCAATAGATTATTTAAAATAGGGGTTGTATATTCCCCACTCTTATCCAATAATACGCTCTTTTGACTTTTATTGCAATAAATAAATATTGCAAATCATATACAACATACAACATGTTTATTTACTGGTTATTAAGTGATTAACATAACACAATGTAAATTTGATTTTTACATAAAACGATGTCAATACAATGGTAAATAAAAGTTTTTCGGGTTTTTTTTTCACTTGGTTTAATTTATTAAAGAAATACAAATATTGATTAAATATTGTAAATATCTATGGTAAATATGTTTTAGAATCTGATCAAGCATATCGAAATCTTTCATTTTTTTTCTTTAAATATTGGATAAAAAATAGGTAGATCATCTTTTTCATATTTTTGCCTTTTTTCCAAATTCGAGCAAATAATGTTCCAGTTTTTCTTTTATTGTAAATATACAAAATACATATTTATTTTTTATGAAAGTCAATTAATGTAGATGTAGTTTTAAAAAACGAATATCTATCATCAATAAATTATATCTACTTACAAATATATTTGAAAAGTATTTGTTTAACACAATGGTGATCTATGTCATGTCGGGTTCGTTTTAAAACTGTTTATTCAGTTGTATTTTAACTATAATATTAAAAAATTCAATTTTCCAATTTTAGATAATATTTTGCAGGGGTAATAAAAACAATGACATGGAAATATTTTGGCATGAAGATTATTCCATGACAGTTTTATATAGGCCTATATATTAATCAATTTATATACAACTTCTAACAAAAATTCCATAATCGTTTACAAGCGTTAGAATATTATCTTCAAATTCTTTATAAACCTTTATCTCTGATGATACGAGTGCTCTGATAAAATTCGTATATTACTAAAATCTTTCATATTTTATGATAATGTCTCGGGCTAGGGACAATGATGGTCGAGTAACAGTCAGATTAAGGATGTGTCTTATCAGCGATGGTTTTCAGTCAAAATAAAGGAAAAATCTCTGACTGTAAATCACTAATACCTGTATTCTTTTCTTTATCTAAGAGATAACGCTGATCTATGAAAAATTAAAATTTGACAATTCTTGAATTATTCTATTACAATGTCCAAAGGTTGTTTGTCTTTTCTAAATTTTGTTCAAATTAAAGTATAGTGAAAGATTTTCAAATGACATTTTCTCAAGAAGTCGTATCACATTTCGAAAAACTAGAAAATCTACAATATTCACCAAAGTACATTCCGCTGCATGTTTAGCCTACGTAGAGTTGGATCTATTCATAAAAACTTCTACCATAGATAAAATCCGTATTTATGGAAGGCTCCAATTGTTTATTGTCAATTTTAGTATTCGCCAATTAAGATATAAGTTAAGTCTATTAATGGAAGAGTCGCTTTGTCATTTAAAAATTTGAAGAGAATGAAAAGTTAAGCGAATTTGTGTTTTAAGTTGAATTGTAATTTAAATAGATTCAATTAAGTTTTTGTCAAGATAACAGTCAAAATGACCACAGGCTGCGAAAAGGATCTTGAAATAATGAAGACTGACATAAACCTCGATCGTAACGTATAATTGTTACGGGCGTTATGGCCCAGGTGTGACGTCCGTTACCGATACACTTCAATATACTTATTACAACAATTAAAAGACAATAAAGGTGTTAATGTGCTAGCAAGTGGTTAATTGGTGAACAAAGGGTAACATATAAAACATTGTTAAAATATTATTGACCATTTAAAAGGGTGCTAAAAGTTTCATTTTGATCAACCAACAATAGTCTTTATTCTGTCACAAAAAATATTTGTAAACACCTATGTAAGAAATTGTCATCAATTTTATCTTGATAAATCATTATTGTCAATATTTCACTTCAGTGAAATAACGTGATTTTTACTGAAAAGAAACTGATTTAAAAAACAATTACCTGGCAACAAAAAATTCGAAATTAAATGAATTTTAGTTTTACGTCAAATCCGATTTTCATTTTTAAACATAATGTTTTTATTGAATTGAAATATATTTCCAATTTTTAGTTGGGAAAGGAAATTCTGTTTCCACTATGAAACGTAGACAGGGGGCTTTGGCAGGAAATATTTTTCCTGTGTAAATATATATGGAATAATAATTCAAAGTCGCTATTATACTTTCTTTTTTCGCCATTTTGACCTTCTTTGACTAAGTTAAAACGTCGCTATCATCACATAATTTGGTCCGTATTGACGATAAATATTATAAAGGACAATTTCACTATTTTCAGTCTTTGCTAAATTTGTTTCAGGCGACCCGTCTAGTTTAAATATTTGTTACTGTTATTTAATCTATATTATTAAAAGGCCAATAGAAACTAAACTGGAAAATGATATTGAAAAAAAAGAGTGTTGAGGAATGAAGTAAAAGTTGGTCGAGTACAATACATCAATAAACAAATACAATTGTAAGACAAGACGATGAAAGTTGTAGTCAGATGGAATGATAAGATATGTTAGGTAAATAAAGTTTATTTATTTTATAAAAGGTAAAAATCGATTCAAACTTGAGTTAAAACTTGAGTACAGGCCAAAAGACTAGGAAATAATCTATTAGTAATCTTGTGTTTAACTTAAAAATTTATGTGAACAATTAAAGCACGTATATTGTGAAATATAAGCAAATTATTCATTGCTTTTGACATTTTTCTAAAAATAAATACCGAGCTTCCTATAAATTTATTTTTTCCCATTAAAATTGTATACTTTAATAGAGCATATGCGATAAAGAATTTAAAGGGGTTGAAAATAGTTTTTCTAAATTTATTATCGGGGACACTGATAGTATCAATTTGCACTATATTAATTTTAAATCAGACGTGTGCGTGGTTCCTGCAATTCAACTAAAAATAAATGTTTGATGACTTCCCTAATCGCAAAATTAATACACACACGAAATTTAGAAAAATTTCTTTACAATCCCTTTCAATATATTATATAAATTAAGTAATGAATGAATGGGTTAGAAAATGAACCGATTTTTGAAATAACCGTGATACAGTTTCTCGATAATCTGACGTAGAATCTGATTTAAAATAAAGTATTATATAATGATATATTTCAATATTTAATAGGTAGGCAAATATTAAAATATTGAAATGCATAAACTGTGTTTAATCCATTAAATAAAATTTGCGATAATACTTTGGTTACTTTCATATAATCTCTTGGCCACTTTCTTTATACTCCGTCAATGTCAAAAAAAGAGAAAAGACGGATTGTTCATTTCGTTGTGAATATCTACATTGAAGAGGTCTGGACAATACAACAATCTCTCCTGTTGCATATTTTAGACTGTAATTACATCTATTTAGACATTGTCAATATTAACATAATATTATAGAGGCAATACAGCAAATATTTACTTCATAAACGATATATTTACTTTCCCGTCAAAATCTATCACCATTTTATTTTCTTCAAACTTACCCCCTAGGGAAGAGGTCTGCTCAAGAGTCGCATTCACCACGCGAAAACCTCGATTTTTGCCCCGCCTTTTCACAAGTTTCTTGATGAAGACCAAGTGAAGCGTTAAACGTCGCTAATCGTGGTTTTAGTTCCTATTCTTTCCGCTGTGTCAAACATTCTAAAGATATGATGTTAATTTCACTCAGCCGGAAAATCGGATCGTTCACCAAACGATTGAAAAACTCATTTCGACACCATTTTTCTCGCCCCACTGCTATAAGGTGAAGTGGCTTTATCATAATGGTAACGAGATGAATACAATCTTGATAAATTGTGTACGAACCAAGATTTCTCGGGGCTAATATGTGTAAATATTATTGTTATATTTATGCCAAATTGCTCTCTCTCTCTTTTGAGAATAACAGTGTCTGGAAAACTTTATCACAACTAGGCCTACCTATTGCATAATTATCAGGTAACTGGAAACAAATTTCAAGCGAATAACTGATGAAAGCAGGGATATTTAAGGGTGAAATTCGCAACCTTCGTGAAAAAGATAAAAAAATTTAGAAAGAGATACTGACATTCAAAAAAGGGTGTGTTCTGAACATGGTAGTCGTTGACATCATGACACAGATGTCAATTAGTAACATATAATCTTAATCTAATCTGAATGATATAATCTGAAATTTTCCTCATTATCTTAATTTCATTCTAGTTATTAATTTATCATAGCAATTTTTTAACATCTTAATTTAAACTCTCTGTCTTCCTATTTGATCATCTTCTTTTCAAACAAATTCCCCTTTTCTTCTCTGTTCAATGGAAGTTCACGAAAATGTGACTAACTTCAATCTAGCTCTTTTCTTTAGAAATGATATGTTTTGGTCGGATTTAATATCTCATGTGTTCGGAAATGAACTGAGCATTGACACAGAACATGGCCCGGGGTGTGATAACAGGGTTCTATTTGAATGAGTCGCCCGGAGCGAACTTATTGAAACACTTTCAAAGATGCTCCTCATCGAGTTAAAGGCTTTAAAATAGTTAAAGCGAACAGGCAATGTCTTCTTAATCAATGTTTCAATGCGTGTTTCATATAAAGGCCATTCAATGCCCTTAAACATTGAAAGGCTTCAACCACACGGTAAAGCACTTAAAATCCGCGGCCTTTATTTCCGTCTTTCGTCTATAGTGAAATTATTTCTTTAGATATTCCCAATTGGACACAGGAAAACGCTTTTTAAAAGCATTTTTTTTTTGTAACTTAGAAATCAACAAAAAATTCTTAAAATCGTTCGTTTCAGATTTGACAAAATGGACACATTTATGTCGGTCTATTTTTGAAAACGTGCCTTTTTCAAAGAGGCGGCTGAACTTTTATAAAATCATATCTTTCCATCTTGGAAACATTAACTCTTTATTGTTTAAATCGGAAAACATTAATGTTCATCAGCTTAATGTCAATGCTGTATACAGTTTCAAATAGGATTGCAAATTACAAAACAATACGGGAACATTTTCACACAATATGAGATTTGTCTTGTTATAATTTGTTTCCCAATGGTGCCCTAAGGGTGGATGACGAAATCTTGTTTCTTGTTAGCAGGTCTTCATCTGAAAGGTTTTCAGCGATTCTGCGAATCTGATCAGTTTTGAGATTCATAATATTCAAATTAAGATTAAATTTAAATCAAGAATCCAGTATACATATAGCCCCAAAAGTGTAGCTGAATCAAGAGCACTCTACAGACCAGACGATAATATTATGGTACCATAAACGAGGGTGCGCCTGTCAGTTGTCAGTTGTGAACGCTGTCAATTAAAACCAAATGCAGCAGAATATAGATAGATACAACTCATGGTAGTATTCGGTGGTAATCTATAGAAGAGACTATTTAGTAATACAGTGACATTATTTAGGCAGATAGTTGAGGGTGTGAACTAACAAATATTTTTACTGAGTGCAATGAGTCGGTTAGGTTTACTCAAATACAACCTTTTACTAGCGACCTGTGTGAGAACCACAACAGATAAATAATATTATTTAACCAATTAATTTGACTTTTTTCCCTTCTCCCTTTCTCTTGTTGCTATTGTTTTGAATAGGGTTATCATTTGCTTTGTACATATGCACTAATGTAGAATAGCTGTGTATTTTCAAGATTGTGCTTGTGAATTTGTAGATACATGTGCAATCAAAGATATAAAGTGTATTAAATGATGAATCTTTCGGCTTTCCCTTCAAGATGCATTGAAAATCGGAAAACAAGCAGGCTATTGCCACTGGCTCGAACTTATACACACCGCAATGCGTTGTCCAACCTTTTTACTCCAGTCCACCGGCAGAAAAGTATGACCTTAAATTAATGTATTTCATTTCCCCTTGACATCAATGAAGATCTGTAGGAATTCTTTCATTTGAAGGAATAGTACAATTTCATTGTACTAATGACCCGTTTCAGCACAATGACCGAACATGTACCTTGTACTTGAAATTCTATCTAACATTCAATAACTGAAGGACACTTTTCTTAGTTCATATTAAAAAGACAATAGACAATGGCTATGAAATGAATCAATGTATTTAATTCCGATCTTAAAGAGACGTAAGGGGTTTATTTATAACGAATGCAATTCAATAATATTTTATATGCATTTGTGTTTTTCCAAAAGTGAATTAAAACAAATTGCTCTTGAATGTATTATTCAAGTCAGATGACCCTAAACAGTCCCATTAACAGATCTAGTCCCACCCCACCAATCAATACAGCTTCTATATTTCATTCTATATACCATTTGTTTTCTATGAATTTAATCTTATATTTGGAAATTTTTCTAAATAAATTTCTGTATCATAGCTTGTTATGCTTGCTATTGGGCTTGCCCTGGGAAATTACACATTTTGAAAATAACCTCCCCAACGTGGCAGTATGTTTAAATGAAGCTTGCACAGACCTCCAAATATTCAAATATTTCCTTATATGGGGTGGAATTTCTCAGTTACTGCAGTTCGGTTTCAGTATTAAGCTGTATATAGACGAATCTCAATGTAAGCACTGGTTTAGGGTAGTAACTAGTTGTAATAATCGGAAAATATATTTAGTTAAACAGCAAAATTTGGTAATGTTTGGTACTTGCTACAGTAAATGTAGATAAGAAACAATAGATCAGCTGCTTCAATTGCCAAAAAAAAATGCTCTGGTTAAAAACCAACGAAAACAATTAGCAAAAGATGAAGCAGATATGAATCTATTAATATAACAAATTCTTTATTTATATTGTTACAAGGTTAAACAATTGATAAACCTAAATAAATAAATATTCAACCCTATTCTAACAATTACATAGTAAATATAAATTTATCACCCATTTGTAAATAAACATTACTGAATGAATGAAAATTGTGTAATTTTGATTACAGACTACGTATTTTGATAGTGTATATGAAATAAGCGAGCTGATACTGAATATTATCAGTGATGAATTTAGATGTACGAAGAGTGGGACAGGTGAGGGGAGGATGAGGATGCGGGGGAAGGGGGTTAATTGTTGTGCATAGCCCGATTGTATGTGGTTTATACACACATACTGCTGTGTAAACATAGTTTGCAATGCTGAAACATACCCATAATGCTGTAAATAAATCGTTTGCTTTGCTGAATCATACCGATAATGCTGTAAATAAATCGTTTGCTATGCTGAAACATACCCATAATGCTGTAAATAAATCGTTTGCTATGCTGAATCATACCGATAATGCTTTGAATAAATCGTTTGCTATGCTGAAACATACCAATAATGTTGTAAATAAATCGTTTGCTATGCTGAAACATACACTTAATGCTGTAAATAAATCGTTTGCTATGCTGAAACATACACTTAATGCTGTAAAGAAATCGTTTGCTATGCTGACATAAACCCATAATGCTGTAAATAATTCGTTTGCATTGCTCAAAATAAACATACAATGTAAAGATAATCGTTTGCAATATTGTTACAAACACATAAACAAATCATTTGCAGTGCTAAGCCATACAAAAATTATTTAAAAATGTTCAAATCGAATGATTTACAATATTGAAACACATTGTGAATATTATTGACATATCCGAACAGCGATATGTGGACTTAATTTGTATATATTTGAAAATGTGCATTAAATGCCTCTTTGTAAAAAAAACATTTGCAGTTTTCAAATTACTTATACTATACTAATTTATGATCATTCAATCAGCCAGAAACTTACGGAGTGTCGATATTTTTTTTAATCCAAATTATATGTTTAAAATTGTAGCCCTAGACGCATTTAGGAACCAGTTTCATTCCAAAAATGCAACAATTGATGCAAACAATTGATAATGAAATCACAACTAAGAGAATGTAGCTATGGTAATTGTTGAAATGAATTTCTATGATTATTTTATGAGTATTGTATAGTAACTAACTATTCCCATATCACTAGTATTATTATACCTAGTTCCCTGTGAGAATATTACCACACCTTAACAATAACAACTCAACAACAATTTTACATTATCACTTATCAATATTTTAAAACAGAAAATGAACAATGATTAAAATAGTGTTATATAATTTGATTATGAATAGATTCAGATCAGTTTAACCCTACCAAGGGAAATGAAATGAAGTGATGTTTTACATCCTGCGATTCTGCACCAGAAACTGGGCTTACCAAAACGGGGACATTTTTTCCAGGAAAGGGCATACCCATTGAATTTCCATTGACAAGGGTTCTTTAATGTTCACGGCATGTAGCACATTTGACGATCTTACATGTCAGCCCTCCGACCTGCATCCTCAACAGACGGAAAACTGGTTGAAAAATCCTTAAGTAAATCTCGACCTCTTCCAGGATTGAATTTCACCAAGGTTGAAATGGAAATGCGTCCAATTTTTGCTTAAGTAGTGAAGTTTTCTTTCATTTGCTTATGGCTAGTGAAAATCGTTGTAAATATGTTTGCTTCTATAAATTTGCATTCAAAGAACTCAATATACATATTTCGCACATACTATCTTGTATTGTATTGCTTATAGTTCAGATTCTATTTTTTTTATTTTAAACAAAAGAACAATTAAAATCGAAGGGTTACATTATCTAATTAATGTGTATTTTATCCTGCTAAAGACTGTGATTTTAATAGGTCATATCTTTATTAACCAACTGTATCAAAAATACAAGAAGCACAAAAGCATAAAATTGGTGGCAAAGGTCGCACGTGTGGTAACCATATTTACATGGACGACTGACAGATAATGGATCCTTATTTTATACTTAGAAACGGAAGTTGGACCGGGGAAATATGGAGTCGTGTGATTATTGGAAGAAACAAGTTACACGTCTGCTGTCTGGCTAGTTTTACGACAATCAGAACAGTTGCTGCGACCGTTTGGTGACATCTGCACGTGACCAAATGCTAACAGCAGTTGGAAGGTGAGATTGGAGTTATTCTGACTGAGTTTGTAATAACAATATATTATGTCCATGAACTAATATTGTCATCATTGATATTAGCCGGCAATTGATTTCTACGTCTAAGGGTTGAATTTTATACGGCTTATTTTCTACAGTGGTCCCAAATCTAAACATATCTTATTATGTTATGATACTTCAATTTATTGTTGATCATGTTCAAGCTAAACGGAAACTATTTTCCTTAATGGAGCGCAAGCACGGCCTTTGAGATTTCCCATTAGCCTATGCTAAAGAAAAATTTGCTCTGAAATTAACAAGAGCTCATCTCTTGCTGCTGTCACATTCTCACCATGAGAGCTTTTTTTTGAAAATGAAGATTAACTCTCCAAAATTCGACTGTAGGTATGAGCAAAGTTAGCAATGTCCTGTATATCCCAATTAAATAACAATAAAACGACAGTGCTTTGTCTATTATTGAAGCAGGATGTCCGTATATTATGAAAACGGTTGTTTGCATTGTAAAAGGATTCTGTTACTTTTTCACACGAATGTTTCACCCTTAATAAGGAAATTTCCAGACAAGTCTGAATTCAATGAGGACGTCTCCAACCGGTATTCTAGTAATCCCACTTTTATACTTATTTACATAGAAATATATTAATTATTTTTAAATTCTTGTTTTTCCTTAATGACCTTAATTATATTTCTGAGCACATTGAGAAAAAAACAAAGTTAGTCATTAAGAACAAAGAAAATACATAAGAAAAAAGAAATAGGAAAACCATACCAATAATGTTAGAAATAGAAAATACAGTCAAAAGCAAACCAAACAAAAGATGGCGGCTTAATATAGAAAAATGAGTTCAACATTTCGATTGCTAGATGGGGAAAAGTAAATATTGACTCAGTGAATATGTCTTCATCAGTCTTTCAACTTACATTTCCTTCACAATTCTCATTTATGAATAAAATAAGAGAAAATTCGTTTTAAGATGAGTGTGAGCTGAAGATTGGGTGGATCTTGCTCATTAGTGCCACTAATTAAATACAAAAATCCATTATAAAAATTTAATGGGGTCTCGACAACATATTTTGGAATATCTTTGTTATATTTTTAAGTGTTGTGCCTATCCTTAAAGACAATTTCTATTTACATAAATTATCATTTTTCTATTCTGAAACAGGCGTTTTTCTCTCTTTTTCTTTTGTTTTGGTAGTAAAATAGATCTGAAAAGGATGGGAAACACCTTAATAGCTTCCCTTGTACTCTATTGTACCATTTCTGTTTAATTTTTAAAACGATCTTATTCATTTTTATTTTTGCATCACGATTGTAAAATCTGTTAAGATATTTCACAATTCGGGATGACCTGGCATTATTACGATTATAACGTTTGTTCCTGGTACTCTTTCTCATAATGGGAGTGGGAGTAGGTGTTATTCAGAACGTCATTTCACCGAGGCGGAGTGGGGACAGTTATGGTACTTATACAAATTTAGATTATCAAATCAAACTTACAATGGTCTTGATATTTTATTCATATTTAAATACGCGATTCTAGATTGTATTTAATATTTAACTGCGCTATTCCGTTTTATTGAATTCTATATTCTAATTCTAATTCTAGATTATCACAAAAATTTTAAATTTCCAATTCTAGATTAATAAATCACATTGAAACATAAGATTCTAGATTTGAAACTTTAAAGCATTTATTTATTCTTTAAAAGATTATATTTTGATTTATATTTTAGGATAAAAACAGTTTGGTCATAATTCTATATACATGCATGCAATTCTAAATTCGATGTAATAAAATGTGTAGGCCTACGATGCAGATGGTATTAATTCATAGAAGTTATCAATATTTTAGATATTTGAAATTTTAAATAATTTGAAGATGTTACAGAAATATTAAAACAACCATGTAAGGTTAGAATTGAGAACGTGAATTGGTAGTAATCAATTTCTCTCAAATTCATTCTAATTAAATTCAAACTGATAATTGAATACCTATTTGGAAGTATACAACGAAACAATGATATATTTTCAATAATAGAATGTTAATGCCTTATTATTATAACATTTGAGTGAACAATGATATCATGGAATTTATCAGACAAAGTTAAAGTCTGTCGTTAACGAAGAGAGGAATTGATAAATGAGAAATAAAGCCAGGAACAAGGCCATTATCGAACCGTTTGGCTTTCTGGAAACAATCGTTTCGTGTGCAATAATAACTTCGTGTGATGATCAGAGGAATAAGAACGTTTAAATGTCGAATTTCCCATGTCTCTTATCATCTGACAAATTACTCGGCTGTTGAGCACGTAGCAATCCCCCCGTTCTTCCACAATCGCCCCTATTAGATCACGAACTTCACCCAACAATTTCAAAATGTGTTGGTCCGAAGACAAGAAGTTCCTTGTATTAAACAAGTACTAGTTTTAGATTAAACGTCCTTGCAGCGTTTATTGTCTAATCAATAGTTGAATAGCTGGGGTAAATATACCCAGTTCGCCTCCTTTATTTTCCTACCGTTTCTAAAGTCAACACTGAGAAATTCAAATAAAAGACTCATATTTTACTGGCCAAAGCGCCGAGATAGTTTGTCCACATTATCAGTGATGAGAATCTAAGTTTTCTAGCACACAAATCACAGCGAGTTTGAACTGGTAACATATCATATGTAGAAATGGAAATATACATCATAATAATTGTAGGATTAACCATAAAACTGAAACAATGTCGCTCTTGTGTATAAAGGAAACGTCTTGATTTTTCAAAATGGCGACCAAAGATGAAACGTGATGGAAAATGGCTACACCTTGGTGAAGGAAGGTACAGGAAGCTACGTCATCATGACCGGAATGTTACTACCATCAGCTCTATAGGTAACTTTATGTTGTTATCATTTTGAGAACAGTATATAAATTAGAAGATCCTTATCTTAACATTCGTAAAATAGAATGATAAAATGAATGTGAAAACAAGCTCTTTGAAATCGAGATGACTCAATATGTTGCATAAATCTAAATATTTTCAAAATAATTATTTTTATAATAGGAAAAGTGAAGTGAAATAATAGTTCAAAATTTAGATTACATACAAGAGAGTGTTTATTTTAGTTCATATATTTCTCATTTTATCGCAAAAATTAGCTTATTTTGCTTGAAATTTGAACATTATTGATCTGAAAATTAAACAATATTCATCTGAAATTGTAACAAAATTCATCTTGTAATTGAACAATATTCGTCTGAAACTGAACAATATTCATCTTGAATTGCGACAAAATTCATTTAAAAATTAAACAATATTCATTAAAAAATTGAACAATATTGCTCGTATTCGTGTTAAAAATGAACAATATTCATCTGAAAATTGAACAATATTCATCTGAAAATTGAATAATATTCATCTGAAAATTGAATAATATTCATCTGAAAATTGAACAATATTGCTCGTATTCGTGTTAAAAATGAACAATATTCATCTGAAA